ATATTCTAATAACAGTTTGATATCATTAGTTACCAAAAAATTAGACTGTTTTCGTTTAGAATCGTTTTTTATCGTATATATTGATAAATCGTTGAATTAAAATCCAACACATCCATAGTACAGCTAGTGACCTATTCAATGACAAGGTACATTTGACACGTACTATACAGCAGCGAGCGTTTACCGAATTGAAGGCTGTTTTTTAGAATGAACCTATCGTTATTTAAGTTTATTGTTGATATTTATTATATTAAATGGACCGAGGAGGGGGTATCTATAGTTTATACATTGTGTTTATGAATTATTATATTTTATGTCCATTTTATCTCTAACCATAATTAATATAAGTATTTTCCTAGCTAATTAAAGGCTAACTATCACTTTTTAGTTCTGCAAAATTGCGTCGTCAAATGAGTTTAAAACCACCGTATGCGTAAGCGTCAAACACCAGAGACTCTGTAACTGTCACGTTTACGCTTTTTTCTTATTTAAAAAAACTGTCATTAGAATTAAATAATTTTCAACTAAAATTGTTTAACCCGGTTCTTACAGTTGTACTGTTGTAGTGTAGGTAAGTACTCGTGACACTAAAACACCCTCAAACACCGCTAACCTCCCACAGTCACGTATACGTTTTATTCATGTTTAGGTACAGAGCAATATATAGAATGAGAATCTCCAATCAAAAAAGTATTGCCAAGTAAGTGAGTTTAATGAATGCAGTAAGTACAGCAAGGTATAGATTCGTATTTTAATACAGTAAGAGAAGGGTTAAATTTATATGATTAAACGCACTTTTACCAACAAAAAAAAATAAATAAAAAGAGTTTCTAATGATTCTACAATAAATATTTAATACAATATAGTTTAACGATCCATGGAACTGTATACAAAATTGTATTATTTTATAAATCAAGCGAAACAGTGCCCTAAATGTGTTAACCGCCTAGAAAACTCGTAGGTACTGCACTACTGCAAATCTTTTCACCCATAAAATATTAAAATTTAAAGTAAAAAACATAACTCGTTAGCTTTGGTAAGTACCTCTGCTCATAAATAAATATAAATAACCCAATATTTTTGGGTAAATAAACATAGATGATTCCGCCGGGAAACTTTCCGCTTGGAAACTAAGTGCATATATGTTTAATATGCGCATATATAAACAAATATTTGATATTTTAGTCATCAGTTTTCTTTGTGTTTTGTCAGCTAAGGACCGTATAGTGGTGTATTTTTGCAGTGCAGGGCACTATATATTATATTACACATAACTATTATGGTATATAGATTAAAATTGTCTTTAGATGCACGTGCACTTAAACTTATATAAACCCGCTGAAAGAATACTATGCTAGTGGCTAACCTACAATATGTTGTGTTTCAATTAGAGTCACAAATGTAAAAATTGAAAGAAAAAGAAAATTTATATCACCTTTTTCATTTAACCTAACAGGTTTCGTTCGAATTTGTTAAAGTTTTTTTCATTCGATATCGTTTCGAAACCTAACTAAAGAAAGATTGTATTATATTTTTATATATTTATACGTTATACCTATATTATTTCTATACAAATAAACTTACAAACAGCGCTTTTATGGCCTCAATAACCTCAAAAATACTACTGATCACACAAAATACGAGTCTCTATGGATCGCTTACAAACATACGGGCCTCGCTCGAGGACCCGCACTGTCCTGTACTGCTGCTACCGCGGTGCTTACGTCCTTCAATATTATTTTACAAAATGCTGCCTCAGCTCATTTGCTTTGTCGGCTTATTATTAATAATATGAAAATTTCTATTATTATTATTATTATTTAATTAGTTGGCACATACAACACTAATCAACTGATTACCATCCGATGATATGGCCGATCCAACTCTTGTTCACGGAAAGCTGAGCTGTGAAATATAAATATGGTTATCTGTTTGAATAAAGTGAATTGCATTTATTTTATTTCTTATGAGAACCTTTCTCCAACCGGGCTAAGGAAAACTAAATAAAAGTGAATTTTAAATTATTTAAAAGCCCCTGTTTATAGCATTAAAAACATATATATTTAAAACAAATAATGTTGAGTACCTAATATGTATTGTATGGGCTCGCGTTTACCCCGCGAGTTATCACTAATCTAATCACTTCATCGTTAATATGTTTACATATTATATCTGCCTTCAGTGTCTTCTATGCATCTTTCTATCTCTCGTTTCGTCTTATACATAAACATTAGTTATAATATGTATGTAGGTATATTTAAAGATCAGTCTGTTTTTAACAGTGGTATATTCATGAGAGAAGCGGATCTGTGCAAGCAGCTCGGCTCCGAATATCTTATATTATAATAAAACGTAAGCTATTTATATTAATATAAAGCTCACTCGATGATGACGGCGACGCCTCCACCTCCACTTCATGACGAGCAAAAATGCAAAATCTTATACACTTATATTATAAGTATGTATAGGGATAACGTAAACAATTATCTACAAGACAAGAGGAAATCGCGCATGCTTTTAATTAAGAATGAGAACTCAGGGTGATGCACATTATGAAAGTCGCGGTGCCAGCTGCGTATTCAACCGTCCCTAAAGAGACGTTATACGTATTAAAATAATTACTATATTGTAATATTATTCGCTGAAAGCCTGTTTCGATATTAACTTTCACCAACCACCGACCACTGCGCTGCTGTGTTTCCTCCGGGATTGTTCGTTGGATGGCAACTCTTCAACCACCATGAAGATAATTAGCAATCTCCGTAGGTAATCTCGTTATATACTCGTTCTATAACACATAATATGTATTAATACTTGGAAAGAAGGATGTTACAAAATAGTTTTAATGGAATTCTATCAAATATCAACCCATTTCTTACCCATTTTGGGGGAGGTCGTTAAGATAAACATTCGTCCGCATCACGATTTTTTGATATTTCATTTCAATCAATTCGTTTTTGTCTATAATCTATACACACATATGAGTATATAACTATATAATACATATTATATTATATACTCTATTCTATACGTAGGTACTTATGTTGTATAGACAGTGAAGACATCATGTTTTGATTTTATCGTAGAGGTCGGGTATCATATTATATTTTATACAAAAATATTTATTAGTAATAGTAAAAAAAAAACAGCTCACTTAAATTTATTCAATTCAATTAATTTACACAAATACAGCTCAACACAGTATATGATGAAACAGTCCGATTGACTTCTCATGATGTGATTTATGGATTTATATATATATACCATATACGAGAAATATATTTAGACACACACATACATATCTATATACTAACATACGATATAATATTTTGATTGTTAGGCTACACGAGTACGTATATGTACGTATATATATGTACGTATATATACGTCACCTATACAGCACCTAATGCATTCGACGTTTTATCGTGCACGAAACTTTATCTTTTTATGTGGCTATATGTAGGGTAGTAGTCATGTGTCGTTTTGCAAGGAAACGGAAAAAACTTGGTGAAAACCACCTTATACAAGAATAATATACATATTTTTTTTAATAGAAATATCGCAGTGTATATCGATGGTATTGGATATTGTATTATGTACGTTTCTGCTGCTCGAAGTTCAATAATCTATAACGACTATATTATTATAGTGTATAGGTACCCTTATAATATGTATGCTGAAATATTTCAGAAAACAAATCGTATTTCAGTCACGTCGTCGCGTTACTTGTTATACACGCGCGAGCCCGTAGAACCGGTGAATCAACAGATACTTATTACAATATTATATTAATATAATATATTATGTGGAACGATGCACCGCGAGCACGTGAGCAATAGCCTCATCGTGTGTGCATATAACTATACCACTTCTAGTGCAGGTAGCTATGGTTATTGGTTATATTATATTGTGTGTCCCTACTCCCTACTCCCTTGGAAAATTCGAAATAAAAAAAACACGCTAGAAAATTATGGAAAATGATTTTCTCGCTCTCCGAGTAATTTTCCGTTTATACTCATATCATACATATACGTACAATATTTCCGAGAATTTTGTACATCTGAAACGACACTCCAATTCCATTATTGCAGTGAACAAAAACACAAGTCGCTGGTATTATTATAATACTATAGTTTGTACGGAAAGGAGGGGATATGGTTTTTTCTTACTATTTGTATATGAAAAATACGTAATAATTGTATTAAATTCCTCGTCATTGTATAAGAGTATATTGTATCATTTAATTGAGTTTTTTTCGATAGTAATATTGTGTCTTTCATTTTTGCACTGACGCATACAGCATACAAATTTCAAGAAAGTTAACTTTATACACTAATACACTATAATATATTAATATAGTATATAACCATAGATTGAACATACAATATGTATATGTTTGATATGTCTTTGTGTATGTTTAGTCTATGATACAACTTACACCGATAAAGCTGTGCCAGTATGGCAGTATACCACAACAAATGTTTCTACTACGTGAACGATATACAATTATCTATTCTTTGGAACTAATGCCAATGAACCCTTATCAGATTATAAAAAAATCAAAGTTATATAAAGTTAAAAATATATCAATATATGAATACTCAGAATTTTTTTTTATTTTATTTCGTATGGCTGGTATATAAATCAACACAATTAAGGCCACAATATAAATCAAATATAAATCATAACATTAGTATAAAATAAAATAAAAATATAAATACAAAAATGTAAATAATTAAATAAATAATAAAATTAAGAGTACATGGTCATAGTTTACAGATAAAATCCATAGTCATAAGGCAATGTCTAGTTCTCGAATCCATTATAATGCTTCATTAATGAATTCCCTCAATGCCCCGATTGAACCTCCTTTTCGAGCAATCTTCCACAATATATGGTGTATTGTTTGGTTATCGTGGCCGCAGTCGCGCGCATGGCTATCCTTAAGACCCCATTTGGACATCATTGAGTCGCACCGGCCGTGACCAGTTCGGATTCTATTAAGTACGGACTACGGACCATACATCTCGTGGTAAATCCATGCCTTCTACACCTTTATTTGAGTCTGACACTAGACCACTATTTTTTACATCTATTGATATCCAGTTTTCACTCCATTCTTTTGTACCCTCAAAGTTTGATAGTGCCAACTCCTTAGCTGTGCTCCATGGGGATTTCCTTGATTTTAACCTGAGGTTAGGTGTATTTCTCAGCATTTGATAAAACAGGGCTCTTTTCGTCCTATCAGCTTTGGTTGTTGTTCTAAGCAGTGCCTCCTTACTGCGTAATGATGGTGGCAGAATATTAGTTAAGACTGGTAACCATTTCGTCGGTGTGCTTTTTACTGTTCCACTAACTACTCTCATTGCGCTGTTAAGGGGCCTCACTACCACGTCTTTTTTTTTTTTGTCAAAAACTACTGTTTCTAATTCCAATTAGTGTCGACAATTATCACGATTTTCATTCTGAAAAAATATTCTGATTGTCCGTAATATATACAAGGGAACGATCGAGCCACATTTTTAATTTTTGTAATTTAAATTGCAATAAAAATTATAAAAAATTCAAAAACAAACAGAATTTCCAACTTAAATATTTAATTAACTAAATACAATTTTAAAAATGTGCCTCGATCGATCCCTCGTACATGTTGTGGAAAATAAGAATATTTTGTCAGAATGAAAATCGAGGTAGTCGTTGCGACGTACTGTTGAAATTAGAATCGTATGTTTGAGTGAAAAATAAATATTTTTTCATGATCACAATATCATATACTGACATGTGTGTGCGAGAGCCCTCCGTACAGCTACAATTGACCCGCATGGACGCCACACACACTAATAATTATTTATCACTAACACATAAATCTCGAGTGGCGACGAGATTAGAAATTACCTAAATGATTCTCCTTAAATCAATGCTATAACGAGGCCCCTTAAGTTGTGGGTCAATTTTTTTCGTATGTGTACCGTTACACCAGACTTGAGCACCGTATTCTGCGGTGCTGTAAACTAGGGCCAACGTAGCTGTTCTTAAAGTCCAATACTCGGAATACTGCAACATTAATCAATTATTCATTGGTGATGTGACCATGATAATTGATAATAATTTATTTATTTTTAGAAAAATAAAATGAAAATCATCAAAAAATCAGAAACCGTAACAAGTGTTATAACTAAAGACCGGATTTATATTCTCTTAAAATACCCAAAATATGATGCTAATATTCTCTAAAAAACCTTCAAATATTCTCATTATATTCTCTCAACATTTAAAAAAAAAGAAAAAATAATCAAAAAACATCATTATATGCTTTAATATGAATTTATTTTTTAAAATTTTATTTTCAACTATATTTTTATAGTGAGATATTAATTAGGTATTAAGAGTTGCATATTATACCTAATGGAATAGTATTGCACTTTAGCAAGAGTAAGAAGTTGGAAAATAATATAAATATAACAGTATATAGGTAATATTAAAACACAAAAACAAAATTTTGATATTTGAATAATTGATAAACTTATAAGTTGATCTTATCAGTAGCTATACATAGATAAACCTTGATAATACTACGTGTTTTCTTTTTATCAAAATGAAAAAAAAAAATAAATTGTAAATGGTCAAAAAAATTTTGTCAGAATACCGTAATATTAAAATTAATAAAAATAAATACAAATTTTTGCTCACAATTTACGAAATATTCCAAAATATGCTAAATGGGTTAAATATTCTCCAACCCATGAAATATTCTCAAATATGCAAAAAAAACTTTTTACTACCTACGCATTCAGAATTGAACGAATCGTCCACATTTTTTACTCTCATATGACTGCATAGACCCAGTAACGATATGTAAAAACATATAAATCCGGTCTTTAGTTATAACAATTAACAGCCATTAATATTTTCTTATTGTAATGTTACAATGTAATTTAATCACGATTACGTCATACCATTGAAATGCTTCATTGGACACGTGAGTAAAGTGGGCACCCTGACTTTGTCCAATCGGAACCCAATCAATATTATTTGTAATTTTCAACTCTGATATATATTTACATCTCTTTTTTTATGGCACTACAGACAAACATTGGGGTGCCAAATTCACTTGAAATCTTCGGATCGGCCCCATGTCGGTGTCATTTTTTTTGCAATTAGTTTATAACAACTTCATTAATTCTTCGGAAAATAAAATTTTCCGATGGGTGACGGGAGTGCAAACTTAACGCATTAACTCCACTAAAATTTGTCGACTAAAATCTAATTTCCAAAGGTAGTACCCGGTACCGTGTATTATACTATTTTTTTTTTAGGTGGTATTTACTCATCTTATTTATGCCTGTACACTAATAATCAGATATTATAAGTAAATAACAAAATAAACAATAATTATTAATTAATATTTAATTTACTGACATTTTAACAAATTTTACTTTACCACCGGTAGCGCAATAGGTAAATAAAGTCACAAAATCACGTGACTTTTGGATTCAAATCGTATGCCGTGTGCCCGTGTGATAACATTTTTCTAATGGGTATAGTTGGGCAACTAAACTATCAAATCGTGAACACCACTGACTTCATTATAGATTATCGTAGTTAGGTACTGTACATAAATTGTAGATGGAATTATAATTTATTGCATTGTATTAAAATTTAAAATACTTTTAAATTTCTGATAATTTGTAATTTTACATTTAGTATTTTACAGTACTTCGTGAACTTATATGGAGTTATCAGCGATTGGAAGTACTAGTTAAACTGTCAACAACGTCTATATCTTTGGAGATAAAAATATTCGGTGCCTATATTATTGTTTTTTTATTTATTTATTGATCAATTCACTTAAACAACAAAGGTGACTAACGTATACAAGTGTTTATTTTTAATTACAATTTCTATTTCATTAAATGTGAAATATATTTCTATATTAGTTTATATAGTTCTACATGTTTTAATATAATTATTATTGTTAACACAACTGGTATTATCGTCATCATCTACAGTGTAGATTCTACACAATTGACAGCGTGTCCGTATTCAATCATCAGACTCTTTTGAGTTGTAGATCAATGGACCGCGGGTCGGTACAGTACCTACTTTATGTAAACACAATATGATGTTCATACAACAACAACAAACACATTAGTTATTATTATTCTTATTTTAGATTCGGAGCCGAGCGATGGATGTATTGATTTTACAATAATGTGTGGTAATTTTTATAATTCTTTTTTCTGTCTGTTATTACATTTTGGAGCAGAAAAATGTCTCCACACCGGTAAACATATACTTGGAAAAAACCCTCTACATATTTTATTGAGATTTGATACTTAACAAAAAAGTTAATATTCTTTATGAATCCCACACACGAAAACGATCATGTTCAATGGTCCATTATTCTGTTAAAATAAATAAGATCGTACCTATAATATAAAAAATAAGAAATAACTTTTTACTGTGTAAACAAAATAAATGTATTACATAATTTAGTCACTCCAAGTTTTGGACTCGCCATCTACTTGAATGATAGTCGACACATAAAATTATATATACGATATATATCATAATATAGAAGGCCCGCCAAGCAATGCCGGATTAAGGGGGGGGTCTAGCCGGGGTGGAAGCCCCGGGGCCCTCTCAAGTACCAAAATGAATGGGGCCCAAACAATTTTACGCTGATTCACATTTTTTAGTGATTCTAAAGAAAAGTTTTTCTATATTTTAACAACCATTTTTTTTATCGTCAAAAACAACTAAATAGTAAATACCTACAAAAGTGTTTTACAAGTTATAGTTGTGACCAACTTTACTGTTATTTAATATTTTCATTGATATCAATAATATCATCAATAATCAATAGTGTTATTTATGTACGGAGAGAGCTTTTTCCAAATTAACTAAAGTACAAAATAAGTATATAACCAGTCAAACATAAGTAAACTTAGACATACAAATTATTTTATATTCTGAGAATGATTTGTTAAAATCATTAGACTTAAATGAAGTATTAAGAGAGTGGGCTTTAAGTAAAGCAAGAATAAAAAATGTATTTGATAAAATTGTTTTTGTTATATACATTAACTTTTGTTTGATATTTGTTGTAAATGAGTATACTGTTTATACATTTAAAAGTTATTATGAAAATTTGAATTTAAATTAATGAAATATCAAGTATTAACTTTTTGGAACTTTTCTACTTTACCGGGCACCCTTTTTTTTGCAATTTTTTTTTTTTTTTTAAACCTATGTAGTTAAGTACGCTGAAAACGATGGTGAAGTCAGAATTTGGCGCTTGGACTTTGTTGTGAAGTTATGGGCTAATGAAGTTTTGATTTTGGAACAAATCTGCTTTACCGGACACCCTTCTTTTTTAGATTTTTTTTTAAATACTAGGTTTTTTATGCTGAATTCAAAACTGTTTGAAAAAAATCCATGAAACTTACCGTTCAAAAGTTATGGAAGTTCATAGTTGTAGTGATTACACGTTATATGGCACTCGTCGTTGATCTCCGAAATAGTGAACTTCATTAACCCATAACTTCAAAACTTAGCCCGTGCTCCAAATTCGGACTTCACCATCGTCGTCAGCGTACTACATAAGTTAAAAAAAAAAAACGCAAAAAAGAGGGCGCCCCGTAAAGTAGAAATATACCAGCTTCTTTTATACTACAATAAAATGAGTAGGTATATAGCTTTATAGACATAAATTACATTTACCTATTCATTTTATAAATTGCAATTGTCAATTGTGAAATAGTTAGGAAAATGTATGTTCCTGCGAGCGTAGTGAGTGGCTTTGTAAAGCATGTTTTGTCAAAACGGCTCATATGAAATTTCAGCTCTGGGCCCCAATAGGTTCTTAATCCGGCCTTGCCTCCAAGTCTGCAATCGTCGCGGTTCCTCTTGGAAGCTGTCAAATATGCTAAGTCTGGTTTCCATCGTCTCGTACTTTATGTGGTTTATAATATTGTTTATAACGTCCATTATGATTTGGTGGGATGCCTCGCTATTATATAAATTAGCCATTTTAGCTGCAGGTATATAGTGCGCATATAAGTAGGCAGAATTGCAAATGAGCCGATTCCGAATTTCATCCTAAGTCGTAGCCGATAATTTAAAACAAACATCGTTTATTAGTAGTCACTAGCCAGCGAATACGCCATTATATTATTAATCGGCCAACATCAGCTGGATTTCAGGCTCGTTTATTTTTCCCAACACCATTAATCATTATTACTATGGATATACCAACTATACTTACGCAGATACTCTATTCAACTATTGTATGACAATATTTTGACGAGGATTTATATATCGATTTGCATTATCAACTTGATTCACTTTCCCACCAGCAAAGATA